AGGATATTAATATTTCAGTACACCTGTATTATAGTTATCAATGTAAAGATTTGTGGATTTATAATTAACGGTACATTACACTATTAATACAGTATTAACATGTGATTTATGAAGAATTTACTAAATAAGTAGTATTTTAATTCCCAAACAACACTAATAGTTAAACCCCAATGATAATGAAATGGTTTATAAAAGATAAATTCTTATTTCATTTCATAATTATTTAATTGGACTAAACAATTGTGGCATAATTTTGTTGAATATTATTTTATTTAATTGTAATTATATATTATAGCTTTTAAAATGTTTTTAAAATTCTTAATCTTATTTATAAATTTAACTCAAGTTTTATGTTCAGATGATTATTATCAATCATCCGATGGTATATATACACTGCAAGAATTTTATGATAAAACTAATGAAAGTATTTATCATAAATGGATTTCACCTCAAACAAAATGTAAATTTTAAACAGTTTCTTAAAAGTGTACAATTACTTCAATTGTATTTGATATTAAGGGCCCATTTTTGTGAACTCCAGTTTCTATTTGTATAATTTTGGATCTATTGATGACATGAATAGTGTATAAACTCTTTAATAAAACATTAAAATAATAATAAATATAAAATTAATGTTTATTTTCTTTAGGAATTCTCACTTTCTTTGGTTTTACGGTTTCGTTGGTTTGACGAAAGGCTTAAAATGGACACAAAAGACGATAAATTGTATGAACTGGAGGGCGGAAAATACCATTTGAATCGCATTTGGAGTCCATCTCTATATATACCTAATAATGAATTTCCAGACTTCCTTCAAAATGAAGACCAGAGACCGGTCCTCATTAGGGTTTACTCTAACGGAGAGGTATTGGTCAGCAAAAAGTGAGTATTCATACAAAAACACTGTAAGCCAACTAAAAAGTATGCGTTTAATTTCATAGATTAGTTTTGAAAGGTTTCTGTCAAATGGATTATAGATTCTATCCATTGGACAAACAATTGTGTAATTTGGAGATTGAATCCGGTAATTAAATTTATATTTTAATTAAATGTGTTATTTTGTAATTTAATTTGCTTATAACACCTTTATTTGTAGTCGATTTGTCGGCCAAACAATTACTGCTGGAGTGGTCTGATGTCGAGCCCTTCACAATCACCCATGACTTCCAATGGAGTGGATTTCAAATGACTGATTATATTCTGTCTCATATGAAAGTGGAGTACAAAACTTCGGGCACTTTCAGTAAAATTGTCGCCACTTTTGAAATGAGCCGCGAGTTCCGTCCCTTTCTGTTTGACATCTATATCCCCGCCGTTTTGATAGTCATCTCATCGTTTGCATCGTTTTGGGTGGAAATCCCTGCGGCACCGGCCAGAGTCACGTTAGGCACCACCACTATGTTCGCACTCGTGGCCAGTGCTAAGTCAGCCCGCAATGAACTGCCCTCAGTCTTATACATACACGCTATGGACATCTGGATACTTATCTGCACTTGTAATCATTATTGTTAATTTTATAATTACTAATTAGCTTATCATTACATTCAACAGAATTTAACTTTATTTTTACAAATTAATTTGTTTTTTATTATAAATATGAGTGCAATGATGACAAATGTTTATTTAGTTGTTTGTGAGTCATTAATTATATTTATTTGTTTAATATTTTGAATTATAGTTTTTATATTCGCATCACTTGTTGAGTACTCGACCGTAAACTTCATCTATAATTCAGAGAAACGAAGAAAACCAAAACCAAATGCGAATCAAAAGAGTGATAAAAATAATAATATAAATGTGAATCAATTACGAAGAGTTAATTCAATGAATTCAATGAATTCACACCAACTGATTGATAATTTTGGCAAACAGTTTCATTTAAAGGTATTGGTTTCTTAAATTACAAAATATAATTCTGTATATAAATTAATTTATCTCTACTATAGCCTCCTCCCGCTTCACGACGACTAAGCAAATCATTTTCAGCTCAAAATTTAACTCTTAATAATGACTTTAATATAAGTATCAATTCCGATATCAATTCAACAAAATCTGATTTGTCTGTTCAAAAGGGTTTATGTAAATACAGAGCCAAACCTCAAGATATTGCCAATGATATCGACCGCAAGTGTCGATACGTATTCCCAATTAGTTTTATTGCTACAAATCTTATTTATTGGATTTCATTAGCAGTACTTTCAAGCAAACAGTAATTTTGAATAAACATTGATTAAATATTTAATGAAAGTTTTAACAAAATTATAAAATATTTATTAACCAACTGAAAATATCATGCAATGATTATAACCAATAATTTAAAGGTTTTCAAGCAATTCAATAGTGAGCGCAAATCCTGAGCCGTATTTATGTCTTTTGGACAAAACGTTGTGATCATTAGTGTCAGCGATTGCTTTCAAATCACTCCAAACTTTGGGATTCAATGATTTGTCACATTTATCGACAGATTCATAGTTAGAACAGGTGTACGAAATTGAATCCTCGGCCTATAGTTTGGTAAAAATTGAAATGTTAAACAATTTGTTAGAAAGCGACTCTCAATGAGACTCACAATTTCATTGATCACTTCATCCCAGTAATCCTTGGCCTCATCCCCGCACTGCTCTTTCATATTCTTACGAATGCACTCTTGGAATGAGTGGAATATACAGCACCCGGAGGGGATCCGGTCCTCGAGGGCCACGTCCACCAACTTCTCCATCATCACTGAGTTCTTCTCGGCGCAGATGTGCATCGGTTCCATCTTTGACTTATCTGTCAGACACTTGACGTGCTTTAAGAACTCCTTCCTGTCCTCACTGTTGTCACACCTCTTCATCAGATGTTTGTCCGCATTTCCGACCGCCATCTTAATAGTCGTCTGAACGAACCCTTTCAGACAGTTCCCGGTGAAGTCGTTCAGACATTTCAGACTCTCACGAATTAGACTATTATTACAGCAATTCAGTGTTCATTTGATGATAAGGCGGTCAATATTAATGTTAAATATATTTTGGTTTAATAAACAACATAAAGATTTGATGAGTGATACATACCCGCAGTGTTGATCCATTTCAGCCTCATTTGTAGGCACTATTACATCTCGGTTGCCGAAAAAACTTCCTTTCATTCCTATTATAAGTTTTACATTTAAATTAATTAATTAATTTCTATAATATTATCACAAATTATCACAAATAAATACCGCAATCATCGGCTTCTTTGAGTTCACATCCACACAACACGTATGAAATACTTTGTATCAAGAAAACTAAATTCAATTAAATAAAGTTAATTATTTCTATTTTTAAAATAATTTATTTGTAATGACTTACAAATTATAATCAAATTCTTTTCAGACATATTTGACTCTTACTTTTAAGTTATTTCAAAAGACTGCAACTAAATGTTTGCACAAAATATGAAAAATGTTTAAATTAAATAAATATTAAGATGAAGACGAGTCT